TTAGGAGAAGTGTTAGGGACAATAGTTTTATTTTTAGAATGATCAAATCTTGCCATGTTATTGAAGATATTTTAAAGCTGATTCTACTGTCCTTATTCTGTCACTAAGAATTGAAAAGAAGCACTTGGGGCCGCCCCTTATGATGCTATGTGCATTTCTGGTTACCAGCGTGACAGATTATGGTCATCTTCTCCCATTGTCATAGAAACAAGGCTACAACAAATGTAAATTGCCTATAATTTTCTCATTCTCATAATTTGCATTCACATTTACATAAGCAGAGATGTACAACAGCAGGTGTGATTCATAACTCTTACAGAGATGTTAAGCCTTAAATCACTATTATTTTCAATGTAAAATTAATTTAAAATGGAAAAACTCTGAAAGATTAATTGCAAGTTGTTTTAAAATATTTCTGAGTATTAAGGAAGGTTGAATCTGATATATAAACTTTTAAACTAATTTTAACCTTCTAAATCAAACAAAAATGAACAAAGTTCTACATCTTATATTACACTTACTATTTTCCTCATATTCTTGGTCTCATCGGAAAAAATTTAAAAATAAATCAATTAAGTATTATTTTATGTAAAATTCAATCCACAATACTATTAACTTTCTTGCGTACAGTGCCAGCTACTACAAAACTATAAATGCACTATATTTTCTTTTGTATTATTCCAACAATTGTAATTTTTTACAAAATAATTGTAACTATTTAACAAAAATGTGATATTTCCATTTATTACTAGATTACTAATGTATTCTTTCATTTACTCACTAAAAAATATTGTATGCAAACCACCCAGTGGTTTGTGTTCCTGGATTTACAAAACAAACCACAAAGAATACGAGAAGCAAATAGTGGAACAAACAACATAATGTGAAGTTAAACAATGGGTTTTTAATTTAATTATGTTTAATAAAATATAGAATGGAACAAGTCGTTTTTATCACTTTGAGTCTCAAGTTATCACCATAGAAATGGAGATACCAATAACACCTGCTTCATCAATTTTTTCTAAGTCAAATGAAATAATACAATGGAAATTATTTTGCATTTGGCCCAATTTTATAAATATAAATGTTATAATATTTTATAAATATTATTGTAACTTTCAGAAAGTTCATAATATATTAGAAGAAGTTAGACAAGTATATACAGTCTGCCCTCTGTATCTGTGGTTCCATATCTGCTAATTCAACCAACCATGGATAAGAAATATTTGGAAAAAAATAAATTCCACAAAATTCTAAAAGCAGAACTTTAATTTGTAATGCACTTATTACTACATTAAATCCATGCAAATTAAGTGGTGGATTAATAGGCATGGATTTATTGTATTAGGATTTTATAAGAAATCTAAAGGTAATTTAAAGTATATGGGAGGATGTGCATAGGTTGTATGTAAATATTATGCACCTGAAATATTTCCCCTTTATTTAGTGTCTATTGTTGCACTGAAATCACAATGTGGAGCTGGATCTTACCTACACAAAGAACAGTGATGCAGCTTTGATTTGCCTTGTTCTTTATAATAACCTCTCTCTCTCAGACTCTGGCATTTGATTGAATGGAGTTAGATCAGGAGATAATCTGAGAGGCTATCCAATCAACATGCTTATAGTGTTCCTTCATCTCTCCACACAAAGACTGAAGTGTTCTTGGGTGAGGAGCTGGCTGTGGAGCCACACTGTCACCTCAGTTTTCCTTTCTTACTCCAATGTACTTTGTGCAAATCAAGGAGAGGTGGCAAACTGGTCAAATCTGCTGGCCAAATCCTTTTATCGTCCATGGTCCTAATATGTAACAATGGTCTGTGGCCCACCTTGATGATCTTATTTTTCCCAAAGACTCCATTTTCAGAAAATAATCATAAGCATTACCTTCTGGGAAGGCATGAGGTAGGGGCTTACCTGCTTTGTATAATAAATGTAAACATGGATTAAATTATTACCTTACATCTTTTAGAAATGTTCAAAGGATTTTTTTTAAAATTTTGAATATGATTATAAAACTAACGAATTATCTGGGAAGCACTAAACACTCAGTACAGAGAAAAAACACATTCCAGTTTATAATAGTAAAAGTTTACATAGAATTTAAATGTATTTAGTATAATATTAATTATCATTATCATTCCATCACCCAATTATAGTACTGATTAAGTCTCTACACAGGACTTAGTACTTCCTCTCTGATTTTGTTCTCATGTTCTTTTATTGTTTTAAATTCCTAGCTATGTTGCTTTCAATTAGGTTGACAGCTCTTAAATATCAGGACAAAACATAAATTGCAGAATATAATCAATCAGTTAGAAATGGCTGTAAAATGCAATACTTTTTTCTTAGCTACCCACTTTATTAACTGTATTTCTGTTTGTCTTTTTATCTCAAAGTCTATTCAAAATTATGATTGTAAAAATCTATACAATATGGGAATTGAAAAGCAACCAGCATTTCATAGAAACGTGTAATGTCATTTCAATATATAAACAAACTCAGGTTTTTACAGGAGAGGAGTTTTTGTGTAAGTTCATATATTCAAGAGGTTACAGAACACTTGGTAAGTGAATAATCTCTCTAGCATCACTGCCATTACTAAAAAATTCTTCGTCTCAGGGCTCTTTCCTATCTCACACTACAAAAATACCACTGAAAGGGAACAGCTTGTCCCTATGGCTTTTGAACTTAGCATAGTCAGATGAGTAAGTACATTTTATGTATGCAGTTAGAGGTTAGTAAAAATAAAGACGTGATGAAATCATGCTGGAATTCCAACCTCTTGAATTTCCATCCTAGCACTGCTTCGGGTTTATAAGGAAGATATATGAAGAGCATTTATAGTTTATTTCTATAGGGATTTAGCCACAATCTCCTACACAAAGTCGTTAATGATGAAAAGCTAGAATGTACCATAATGGACATAAGTTTCCTTTTGTAGTCCTGGTTTAGAATCAAATCACTCTTCTGCTCTTTTTATTCTAGGCCATGCCATTCTTGAATAGAAAAAAAAAATCATATTTTTTCACTTATCACCAGGTGAAATTTAACTTCCTGCAATTGACTATACACAAACCTACAGCTGTATCAGCAAATCTGTTTATATTTACAAATAGATATTATATATTTTTTCTAGTTGTTATAGATATCCCAAAATATCATTTATCACCATTTTGATGTCATGGTTGATATTAAACCAGCAAACTATATCTTATTATTTAATATGTTAACGAAACAAATATAGATATCATAATTTAAAAATTATTTTGATAAGTATATTTTAATATAACTGGCTTCCTTTTTAAACCTGTGTACTTTATTTTATGGATTTAAATGGAATATTCTAAGAGGTTTATAGGCTGCTCCAAACTCTTGAAGGGGTTTACAGGACAAAGAAGTTTAAAAACTCCTGTTCTACTTTCACGTCTCAATCTTGGTCCACATGGGAGAATAAAAGAGATAAAGGCCAAGAAAAATACCTAGGTATGATTGAAAGAGATTGTCAGAAAGAGGTTATGGACTGAAAATTTGAACAAAAAATTGCAATATCATCCCACATCACACAAAGAAAAATCCATAACATCATAAATTTGGCTCTGTCAAAGCAAACATTGGCCTAGCCTAAATTAAGCAGACTTTATTCTTTATTTTCCCATTGCAATAGGGGAGAGAGACAGAAAACCCCACCAAAGCAAATGTGGGAAAGGTTTTAAGAGCTGGAGTGGAGGAGGAATTTTAGTACAACTATTTTTGCTAGCCTTACCTAGTGAAAAAGCAAGCTTTCTCTTATCTTCGTGAGCGGAGGTAGTTTTACAAGTTGAAGCAAGGCCACTTACCGACGTTAAGCTTCTACTCTCCCACAGAAACTGGGAGATGGGAGCGCTTTCTTCCTTTTCTTTTTTCTTTCTTTTTTTTTTTTTTTTTTTTTTTTTTTTTTTTAGACCGAGTCTCTGTCGACCAGCCTGGAGTGCAGTGGCGTGATCTCGGCTCACTGCAAGCTCCACCTCCCGGGTTCCCGCCATTCTCCTGCCTCAGCCTCCCGAGTAGCTGGGACTACAGGCGCCCGCCACCTCGCCCGGCTAGTTTTGTTTTTGTATTTTTAGTAGAGACGGGGTTTCACGGTGTTAGCCAGAATAGTCTCGATCTCCCGACCCCGTGATCCGCCCGCCTCGGCCTCCCAAAGTGCTGGGATTACAGGCGTGAGCCACCGCGCCCGGCCCCTTTCTTCCTTAATATATTTCAAAGGCATGACTCCCAAGTCCTTGAGAAAGACATCCCTGGATTGTAAATACTGTGAGAGGTTTTTGTTTTGTTTTTTTGTTTTGTTTTTTGTTTGGTTTTTTTTTTGGTTTTTTTAGATTTACATGTCAAAGGGGAAAATGAATTTTCAATTCCAAGTTTTCTAACATTAAATGCCCTTATAAATGGAGATCAGGACCTAGGCTCAGGAAGAAGCTTATCCAATATCCAATGAGGGAAATATTACGGCCATCCTTGCTAACTTTATCAGTTCCTCCTAGTGTTACTCTTCATGAAATAGAATGAGGAGAAAGAATTCAGCTCCTTCAAGAGAAACTATGTCTGAGCATAGGTGTGTGTGAAAGAGAAAGTGTGTGTGTGTGTGTGTGTGTAAGTGTATGTGTGGTATTTCGCAATAACGGACAGTGCTGTCAAATAAATATAAATTGGAATTTCGTGTGAACACCAGAAAAACAAAACTAAGAGCAAGTGTAAAGAGTTCTTGGGATAAGAAAGACTCAAGAAAATGTTGCTTTTTGTTTACTAAATCTGATAGAATAAATTACTAAATAAAATAATCTGGCTTTGTCAACACGTGTAGGGCTTTCTGGCAGTCCTTTTATAAGAAAATAATTCCCATTTCTTTTTCAGTCTGTCTCCAAAAGAAATGATATGCCATCTAATCTCAATGTAAGCTCTCAATGTACCACAAAAAAGCAAATAATCCAATGTCATTCTTGATTAAATAATCACCTTTTCAGGGCAAAGCCAAGAAGTGTTTTTTCCCCGCTCCCTGAAACAGGAACTGTGACCTAATTCTCATTCCTAATCACAGAATCAAAGGTTAGTATTTGAACAACCTGACACTCACTTTAAGCCATTCTATTTTTCTGCCAAAACTTCAACTTTGTTGACATTCCTTGATTATCCACATTAATGATTGAATCAGCTATTTTTGCCCTTGGATGTTTCTTGTTCTTTATATTCTGCACTACATTTTTTCACACAATAGTATTCCCTGGTCACAATGTTAGAATTAATAATAAGTTAACAACTGATACAGACTGAATGTTTTTTATTTTTCCTGTAATCTTATTTAACCTTATAATTCCATTATTGTTATAATGACAGTTATTTGATTCCAGCAAGAAGTAATACATTTATGATGGCTGATGATAAGCAAGTTTAAACTTGAACTTCTTTGAACAAAGACCTTTTTTTTTCTTTTGTACAGAAACTAAAATTATATACACTTTCCCAAGTCTTCCCTTTGCATAACAAAAAATAGAAGTTTCCTTGAGACTGAAATTTGGCATCATAATTAATTTTTTCTTTATTTTGAGAATTGCCCTCTGGATAAATTAAGAGAGAAGAGTGGGGAAAAAAGAGCCATTATGTTTTGTGTCTCCTCAGTGTAAATTAAATTGCTGGTTTGAGTCTAATGGGGGCATACATTTCCATGATAAAGGGAGAGATCTGTTCGATTCAGGAATACAAATGGTTAAAAACAAGATAAAGCTATTATCTACTCTAGGACTCTATTCTGCAGAGAAAACTCCTGGGTACTTCTAATAAGAAAGATACAGCAGAGCTTCCTGACAGGAACAGAGTGAGCCTTTGTTAGTCCTGGACTTTTCTGTCACTCACATATAGATAATATCAAGCACTGTGACAGAGACAAGGTATATATATGACTGCTACTTAGACAATGGGAATGCTAAGCCTCTAATTGAATTTCTCTCAGAAAAAGACATTTTCTTTGGGGAAAAGTAACATTTTGTCAAGTAAAAATGATCTGCTAATTGTTGTAGAAAATTTCTCAGTTTAGATATAATTGATCTTAGTTTTATACTTAAGTCTCATTACCCTCTCCACATTACCCATTTGCAGCTTCTTTACAGTATGCCTGTGCTTGCTAGAGTAAAAGTAGATTTTTTTTTTTTAGTTTCTAGAATCTTATTCATGGAAAATCTTCATCTAAGTGGTGTTTTCACATTTAAAAAGCCACCTAACAAAATGTCCAAGTATTGTTTTCTTGCTGTCTTCCTAATTATTCATGTATGTCTACGTGTATAGAATCACAATTACTTATACTTGTTGATGTCATGTATAAAATGTTGAAATTCTATACTGTTACTCTAGATACACAGTCAAATGCACTATTTTCAAGGCACATTGAATACTCATAGCTTTTCTTTTGCCTGGAGGCATAGAAGGCACACAGCTTCTTTATCATCATCTGTTTAACTCCAAACCTTTTCTGAAAATTGAAACTTTCTACTTTGTATATGTGTCTTTATTTCCCTCCTTCTGTTTACTGATATGATTGATTTTACATTCCCATTACTTTATAGGAAAATATGGACAGATAAAAATTGTGACTCCCTTGTGTTTGAAGATCTGTTCATCACAGAAGGAATATTGGCTTCTGTTTTGTGTGAAAACTCATGTAACGGCATCTTGTGCGAGTTTAATGTCAGTAAGGGTGGATGAGTCATTTTGTTACATTTGTGTATGAGATAAGCACTATTAGGATTTAAGATTAGTGTAAATTGTAAAAGGACAGCAAATAAGCAAGGATTTGTTTTTTCTTATTTTTTTTCAAATATTTTATGTTTTGAACAGAGTTACTGAAAAGAGACAAATCCAAATGCCTGTAAGAGTGAGAATTTTCCGCATGTTCTCCCAAGATATGGTGACAAAAAATAAACATTCATTAATAACGAAAGCTTAATTTTATTTTTTCATCTAGATAGAATACAATGAAGATGATGATTTTTAAATGAATATATCTATTGTTAATTTTATATGACTATAAAGAAAATTACTAGTCAAATTTCGTACTAGGTGTTTGAAACTCATCTCTCTTTGCAGCCACAGAAAATGACATCTACTTTTTCTAGCTCTAGTGTTTATATGAAAATCTGTCAATCATTTTGCAAGATGTTTTATATCTAAGTGTATCTGTCAGGAAGTCCTATTCAAGATCCATTGGAGTTATTCTGGGCAAACAACAGAAGTAAATCCTTTTGGAAATATTAAAAACAATTACTAGGCCCAAAAATGTTTGTGCAAATTTGAAAAATAAAAAGTAAATTTTGGAAATACGTTGTCAAGTCACAATCTCTTTAAAGGTAATATATATATATTTTTTTTTTGAGAGGTTATTTTAATATTTTAAGTAGTATAAAAATTATTTTTCTTTTTTATTCTGAAGGAGAAATTTATTTCAATGGGCCAGTCTGAAAGAGCTATTTGCCAAATGGCTTTCTTTCCAATACTTAATGAAAAGATGCATTTTGTACTACTTTCAAAAAGGTAAAGATTTTTCATAAAAATCGCCCATTCCTTTGCTTAATATGCCAGAGTGATTTTGATTGCTTTTGAAATTCTAAAATGATAGCTAAATTAGAACCATGCTTTTATTATCATGTCAACTGGACCTTAGTTTCTATACTCTTCAAGGTAGACAGAAGAATCTGAGGCATGATCAACAACTTATAAAAAAAAAACCTTAAATGCCCTACTTACCAAGTAATTAAACTGTTTAAAAAGACAAAAAAAAAAAAATGCCTGTAATACTGCTTTTCCAAGTGTGTGAAAACTATTTGTAAAATAAATTATTTACAATAAAAATTTAATTGTATTATTTTAAAATATATAAAGCTATCTATAAAGACAGCAGGCATACAACAAGGTTATGAATGCTTTAAAATCTCAAAATTCTACATTTTCCACTTTCTTTTTATTAACCTGCAAGAGGGATGCTTATGTGAATGTTCTGCCTTCTATAAGCTTGGTGCTATTTTATTTCCATTTTATAGATGAAGGAATAGAAACTAGAAGATGTTAAATAACATGTCCCCAAACAGATTTTCTTGATGCAATTTTTACTTGCTTTCATGAGTTAACCAGAATTACACAATTATATTTATTTTCAAACACATTTCCGTCTGCTTACTTCCACAATACCTCTATTCAATATTGGTGGAGAGATTAAAGTGGAAGATTTGGGCAGTTACCCATGCTGTGACTTCAATCAATTTTCTTAACCTCTCTGTGGATTTTGTTTCTCCTTTCTAAAATGTGTATTTTAATAATAATCCTAACAATATTTTATCATTTTTTAAAATTGATATATTTCAAAGTGAATTGTAATCTGCAGTGGTAACTATTTATTATAAGTTAACAATGTATTGGGAGGTCGAGGCAGATGGATTGCCTGAGCTTAGGAGTTTGCAACCAGCCTGGGCAACACGGTGAAACCCTGTCTCTACTAAAATACAAAAAATTAGCCAGATATGGAGGCGGGTGCCTGTAGTCCCAGCTACTCAGGAGGCTGAGGCAGGAGAATGGCGTGAACCCGGGAGGCGGAGCTTGCAGTGAGCCAAGATCGTGCCACTGCACTCCAGCCTGGGCGACAGAGCGAGACTCCGTCTCAAAACAAAAAAAAGAGAAAAGAAAAAAGAAGAGCAATGTAGTCAGTTACATATACAACTCTTACTGAGTATGCACTGTGTGTTCAACACTAGTTTAGGACCTGATATTAATGTAGTTCTGAATTTAGTTTTCCTATTCTTGAAGACAATATCAGCTAACTTCAATTCCTATTATAATGATGTTGGCCTAGAAGTCACTTGTATTAGTTTGTCATTGCTGTGTAACAAATTACCACCTACTTAGTGATTTACAAAAACACAGTTATTAGTTTGTAGCCCCTTTATCTTTGCCACATAATATAATCATGGCAGTGATATCCCATAATATTTATAGGTTCTATAACACCCAGGGAGAAGGGATTATACAGGTTATGCAGAACAGAGGCAGGAAACTTGGGTACATTTTAGAATTCAGCCTACCAATCGCAGTATGCCAGGGTCACTTGATTTGAACAGTAGAGGATGGTGACAAATGTGTCTTATTCACAGAAGGCTATGAAAATAGGCTAGATTTGGAAGGGGGAATGAAGAAGAAACAAGTGACATCTTTTCCATGAAGTAGACACTCTAAGCCTGCTATCACTGAAACGTACTACTTTGACTTTGCACAATTAGCCAGTCTTGACAATCAGAATATGAAAGGCATGCTGAATTGCCAAATTATATTGAATGTGTCCTATATTGGTGTTACTCCCTGGTATCGCAAGACAAGACAAATTGCAATCCAGGGATCTGACTAATGAATGTATCAAAATAGTTATGATGACATTGGAAAAGAAATAGAATCTCAGTATTTTGAGATATTAAGCCAGAGATACATGTACATTGATAATGGCACAAAATTGTCTGTATTCATGACTCAGTCCTTGAAAGTTTATATTACAAAATGAACAATACAATCAATCAGCTATTTCTAGTCACTTTATATTTGATTCTTCTGTCACAATGGCTTTCCTCCTCACTTTCATAACTCAAATTGGAAAAGGACTGTCTGCAATGTGGACTGTAAAAAATAGTCCACATTTTGATGGATCCTTATTACTTATTAAATGTTTAATAGGCTGCAGGACTCACTCTAAGATCTGTTTCATTTCCCTTGGTGCATATAGTATTACTTGATAGGGGAAGGATACTATCCATTTTTGGAAAGTTTTATAAATAGTATTAGGAGAAACTTCGAGATACTTATTATTTTCTCCTATTTAAGTTACACTGAGTTGAATTTACAAGTATAATAACTTTAGTGAGGAAAATTACTAAAGTTAAAAAGAAAATAGTGGAGAGAAAAATCATTATCTGTATACAGAAAACTAAAGAATTAAAGAAACATATTTTTTTTGTGATTTGCACGATCTTCAATGTAATCGGAATAGAGAAAGGTCACAGGGCTCAACAAGCAACCCCCTGCTGCTTTTCTCATCGCTGGTTTCCTGTTCACTCTATACACTCGTCTCTTCTCTTTGTCTAATACATATTGACTTTCTTATTTCACAGACTCTGTGATATTTTGCACAAGGTTAGTAACCCTGAAGATTTTCTTTCACTGCAAAACAAAGGGTCATTCTTCTAAAAATGTTTATATATCCTCGTTTGTAAATGTTGTTTAGAAGAGGAAGGAATGCTGTGGTTTAAGGTAATATAGTTTTTATAAAAATTTATTTCTTTAAAACCCTAATACAGGGTTTATAAGGCTTGACCATATGTACTCTGTATATGTGTATACAGTTTAATTATATGTAGAATCAATGTTTACCCAACCTAAAGCATGCACGTGCTTGTATACAAATGTGTGCACATATATGTGCATGTTTGGGCATGCCCTCCCCTACTCCCACACAGAAACACATGATCACACACACACACACACACACACACACATATATATATATACCTAAACCTGATTGGAATGAAAGATTAATAGAATTTGATTTTCTGGGACTAGTTGTCAAAAATTCAAGAGGATTAGATTGGTTATTTATAACTAGAAAAAAAATTGTCCCAGCCCTTTCTCCATTCTCAGGAAATATCTAGTGGGTTCATGTTTTTGTTTTACTTTTCTAGGAAACAAATGTTTTCTTATTTATCATGTTCAACATCACTGGTTGCTACTGTTCTCTAACTCCCTTTTTTTTTTCCCCTATATGTTTGAGTACATATTACTACCTCTCCCTTGATAAAGAGAATCTTCAAAAAAAAAAAAAAAAAAAAAGGTCGGACGAATGGAGTGTTTTCTTTCAGATACATTTATAACCCAAAAACCTACTTGTGGAGCACTTTTACTTCCCACTGCTGAACTAAAAATTTTGAGTATTGCTGTTGGATCCCTTGATTTTTCTCTTCTCTTCATTCAAGCCTCTTCCTGCTTCAACTTCTCCCAAAGCTCAAGCTTTTAAAAGCTTCTTAGAACTGACACATCACAGAAGTGAATATTCACACTTACTTAGTCCATTCCATTTTGTTTCATAGTATTTTTTTTAATTGGGTATGATCCCAATTACCATTGGAAACACAATAGTACTCTTTTTCCTCTCTAGACCACTTATCTAAGTGTATATAGTGTGTGTGCTTGTGTTTAACCTAATATTAATATTGTCAAACTTAGCAAACCAACCAATCAGCCATCTATTTAATTTGAATTTCAGATAATAATAGATAATTGTTTACTACAATTTGTATTTTAGATAAACGTCAAACAATATTTTGGTATATTTCCCAAGCAACGCTAGAGATTATTGCTTCCATTGTTGCTTTTCCATGCAACACATTAGAATATTTTATTCCATAGTTGGATCAAATCTCTGTTTATCCTCACTCACCAAAGCGCTCTCTACTAGTTTAGCATGGTGCTAAGTCCTACACACGAAACCAAAACAAAACAACTGCAATGGCATCATCTTTTGCAAACAACTCAATCTCTTTCATTTTCATTTACCTCACCTGTAAAAGGGGATAATACCTGCATATCCAAATTAGAAGTAAATTTTATATATGTATATATATATAGCGTTCAATAAGAATTTTCACATAGAAAGTACTCAGTATTTTGTTTTTATAATTAGCAATGGTACTATCTGTTTTTGTTTCCTGAATATCACTGCACCTTAGCCCTTGATCTCTCTGAGAACTAGATCTTAGGTTATTCTTTTTTTGAGACTTTTGTTTTGTTTTTGTTTTTGTTTTGAGACAGAGTCTCGCTCTGTCACCCACGCTGGAGTGCGGTGGCAATCTCCGTTCCCTGCAACCTCCACCATCCGGGTTCAAGCAATTCTCTTGTCTCAGCCTCCTGAGTAACTGGGATTACAGGGCCCAGGCTGGAGTGTAGTGGCAATCTCTGCTCACTGCAACCTACACCTCCCAGGTCCAAGTAGTTCTCCCTGCCTCAGCCTCCTGAGTAACTGGGATTTCAGGGGTCTGCCACCACACCCGGCTAATTTTTGTATTTTTAGTAGAGACGGAGTTTTGCCATGTTTGCCAGGCTGGTGGTAAACTCCTTGACCTATGGTCATCTGCCTGGCTCGGCCTCCCAAAGTAGATTATTCTTTTGAGTAGAATATAATCAGAGAAAAGTATATATTTGTGTATATATATATATATTTCAAATAATAGCTCTTTTGAGATATAATTCAAATATCATACAATTCACTTATTGAAAGTATACATCAATGTTTTTATATATTCACAAAATTATGTTACCATCATAGGTATATATTCTGTGTAGATTCTAATTTTAAAGGGATGCAGATGATAAATGCATGCCGATGATAAAAATATTAAGAGATATAAAATATTATTATACAATCAATGGAAAGTCTTGCGTCCATGTCTTATGATTGGTCTCCTACTTCTGTTCCCAGAGAGAACTACTGTTAAGAGTTACTTTTCAAAATATCGTCTCTGAACATATATGCATATGTACCTAAAATATCTTATAGAAATTAAGTAACGGTATGCCCAGTTGTGGGCCTTGATTTTTCCTCACTCGATGTGTATCTTGAAGATCTTTCCATATAAGCACACGTAAGTCTATGATTCTGAATTACTGCATAATATGCCAGTACATTAATATAGCATACTTCATTGTTATTATTGAGAGAGACAGGATCTCACCCTGTTGCCCAGGCTAGAACACAGTGTGTAATCATAGCTCACTGCAGCCTCAATCTCCCAGGCTCAGGGGATCCTCCTGCTTCAGCCTTCTGAGTGGCTAAGTTTACAGGCACACGCCACCATGACTGGCTATTTTTTTTTCTCTCTTTTGGTAGAATAAAATAAAAATGTTACCCAAACTGGATAACATACTTTATTTAAACTAATTTATAATGATGGACATTTAGGTTTTTACAGTAATTTGCTATTATAAATGTTTTAACGGTAAATATTTTTGTTTATATTATCTTTATTCACAAGGAAATGTATCTATAAATTCAATTCTTAAACTTTAATTCTTGGATTAAACAGTATGCAATTTGTTTTTTTTTTGTTGTTTTTTTTTTTTTTTTTGCCAGCCAAGTATTATAAGATAATAGACACATTTTATAAATCCCTCAATTTCTGCAAATAAAATTCCTTAGCTTGTAGGCTTGTTTTATTACTGCCTCAACAACCTATAAACAAATACACAAATACCGTCTTCCTAGGATTTTGGAAAAGCTACTCAAATGCCATTAATTGTGTGATTGCTTGTATATAACATCACAGATTTTACTTTTATTACAGTTTACTTAATTTAATGGTTACTTAAGTAACCACTATTACTTATTTTAAGCATTAAATGTGGATGTCTATTCGTTCAATATATATACCTATATGAAAGAAACAATATAGAGTACCAATGTGCAAAAAGGGACTTGAGTCAATCAATTTACTTAAATTTTCCATGCATTCTAAGCCTCAGTTTTCTTATTTTTAAAGGGAATAAAGATTACTTTTCAAGGTGACAGACTTAGCCTTTCCTTAGTCTTTGCCTTGTCTTCCTCCTAGTGATATGGACAGGAGATGGAAATACTGGGTCGAAGAGGGCAGTTCCCTGGCAAACCTCACCCTCAAGCCTGGATACCTGCTGTCCTAAATGAAAACAGGCATTTCTGTTTTCATGCTCCAAAAGTTGTCTTTTTGCCCGCCACATCCCCTGTCCTGCACCCATATGAATCCCGAGCCCCAGGCTCCAGAAGCAGACCAGCAAGCCCGAAGACCAGCAGAAGGACGGCAGAATGATGTGGCTGAGAAAGGGAGAAGAGGAACATCTGAATGCCAAGAGGAGTTCAGCTGGGGGCAGTCAGAGAGGAGTCCAGCCACAGGGCAGCCAGAATCCAGGGGAGGATCACCTTTCCACTCCATCCTCTTCTTCTGCCTCCCCATCCATCCTGCTGAAAGCCACTTCCACCACTCAATAAAACCTGCCATTCTTCCGTGGAGTCCGTGTGTGACCCGATTTTTTCCAAGGCACTGGACAAGAGCTTGGATACAGAAAGCTGTCACCCTGGCCCTCTGCCCTTGTGAAAAGACAGAGAGTCCACTGAGCTGATTAACACTCAAGCCATCTGCAGATGGCAAAGCTGAAAGAGCTCTGTGGCTCACTCCTGTAATCCCAGGACTTTGGGAAGCCAAGGCTGGTGGATCATGAGGTCAGGAGTTTGAGACCAGCCTAGCCAAAATGGTGAAACCCCATCTCTACTAAAAATACAGAAAGTAGCTGGGCATAGTGGTGTACAATCCCAACTACTCGGAAGGCTGATGCAGGAGAATCGCTTGAACCAGGGAGGCAGAGGTTGCAGTGGGCCAAGATTGCGCCCCTGCACTCCATCCTGGGTGACAGAGCGAGACACCTTCTCACAAAACAAAAACAAAAACATAAACAAAAACAAAAAAGAAACAGAAAAACCTCAAAAAAAAAAAAAAAAAAAAAAAAAGCTTTGTAACACTGGGGTTGCAGGCACCCACCCCTAGACACTACCACAGGGCTGGAGCCCAAAGCGCTTGCCCCAGCCTCTACATTTGCCCATCTGCATGCTTCCCCTCCTGCAAGAGGTTTGAGCAGCGAGATGAAAGAACAGGCAAGCCTGCACGGGGAATTAGGGAACTCTTCCATTTCACTAGGTCACATTAAAAGATTCAAAAAGATATTAAAACATATGTTACACTATTCTTAAAAAAAAAACCTGCTATGTAAGCCAGTTTTTACTAGAATACAGGAGGTTACATAGACTAGAACTTTCTGAAAAGAGTGGAAATTCTTCTGTAAAAAGTCCATATCTTTAATGTTGGAGAAGAGAAAGGCGGAACATAGCTTGGGTGACTCTACACTTCCAATATCCAAAGCAATATAGAGATATATAACTTTATAACGCATAAAAACAATTAAAATACTCTACCAGGAGAAACATTATCATTACTTAGGAAATAATTATGTGGATCAAAAGTATGTTTACTTATTTCCAATTCACAATCCCAAAAGGAAGCCTGTCTGTTAATAAGCTCTCTCCATTTGCACTGAACCTACAGTTCAGTACATATTCATCCAGAAAGTAAAATGAAAATTCAACAAAATAATGCATTGCGAAAGAGAAAGGAAAGTAAATCTTGCGGCCCCCAAATCATTAAGCTACAGGGAAAAGTCAAGCTGAGAACTGCTTAGAGCAAACCTGTCTCCCATTCTATTCAAAGTCATTCCTCTGCTCACTGAGATAAATATGTATCTAATTGACTCCTTTGGAAAGGCTAATCAGAAAATCAAAAGAATGCACCTGTTTATCTCTCACTTACCTGTGACCTGGAAGCCCCTCCCTGTTTCAAGTTGCCCCGCCTTTCTGGACAGAGCCAATGTACATCTTACAAACACTGATTATGTCTCATGACTGTCTAAAATGTATAAAACCAAGCTGTGCCCCTACCACCCTGGACACAGGTCTCAGGACTTCCTGAGGCTATATCATGGGCATGTGTCCTCTACATTGGCAAAACAAATTTTCTAAATTAACTGAGATCTGTCTAAGATATTTGGTTTTACACAACTAAGATTATACCTAAATTTCAAAAATAAACAATGAGTTATAAGACATTTGAAGACAGCTAATAGCAAAAAAGAAAAAGCCTAAGGTGAGTACACAGAACATTTACTCAAATAAATACATATTTTTAAATTATAATTACTGATCTTAGAGATATTCTAAAATATATTCAAAAATCAAGAATTGAAAAAGAGTAATATGAGTAAATTAAAACTATGATTGCTAAAATTAAAAGTTAAAATCAATTAAGAACATGATGATTTAATTAGCTATTTGCAAGACAGACCCATGTATATAGTCCAGAATATAAGAAAAAAAAATTAGAGGAAAATGTTGAGAGAAAATTAAGAGATACAGTTAATTGCTTTTATGATGATCTTAAAGAATTCAATAAAATTTTTGGAAAGAATTAAGCGAGGAAATTATTAAAGAAATTCATGAAGAACTTTTCAAAAGCAAAATTAAAATAGAGTTGTTTGAATTGAAAGGGCAATTCAGTGCCAATCAGTTTGAATGAAAAAAAAAATCCAACAGCATAAAAGGATTTCAGAGGACCAAACACAGAGAAAGATCTTAAAATCTTTCTTAAAGAAGAAACACATGATCTAAATGGAACGAGAGTTAAATTGTCATCAGGAATCTTTCGTCACGAAGAATTTAGGAAGACAATTGAGCAGTAGCTTCACAGTTGAGAAGGATCATATTTTTGAATCACAAATTTTATACACATGAAAATCATAGGGAGAGTTTAGCTATAAATAAAAGGTAACCAAGCTAAGATAAACTTACATGTACAAAGTTTTATTATTATCACATAGCATATTCCTGTTGGAAAATGGCTCCTCCTTAGCAATCATCCATGTCTTCACATCTGCCATATAGGCACAGCTAAGTCACAGGCTTACCCATCTCTTGGTGGAACACTATGTGTTGCTTCCTGGAATATGGTGATCTGAGCAATCTTCCCAGGAGCTGTACACAAATGTTTTACATATATCTTCCTGGATGTTTTACATATACCTTCAGATATGGAACATTCCACCATATCCATCATTTGGCTAAAAACCTCCCTTACTAACTACTTGGTATCATCTGTCATCTGGCCTCTCTGATTTAAAGTCATCCTGTGGGATGTAGGAAGCCAACATGACACTGATCTTGCTTATGCTATCTGTGTAAATTATAAACTGCCCAAACCCTTTCATATGGACTCATTGTCATTTTACTGACCAAATCCATGAGAGTGTGGCAAGCCAATCTCTAGCAGCTGTGTCAGAGTTAGACAGCACATTTGCTGCTTGGCCACTTGCAAATAGAAGTTTAGCATCTGAGTAATGTTAAAAGAGATGCAGGCTCACTGTTTTCTTCTTCCTCTTTTTTTTTTTTTTTTGAGACGGAGTCTTGCTCTGTGCCCCAGGCTGGAGTGCAGTGGCGCGATCTCGGCTCACTGCAAGCTCCGCCCCCCGGGTTCACACCATTCTCCTGCCTCAGCCTCCCGAGTAGCTGGGACTACAGGTGCCCGCCACCACGCCCGGCTAATTTTTTGTATTTTTTTTAGTAGAGACGGGGTTTCACGGTGTTAGCCAGGATGGTCTCGATCTCCTGATCTTGTGATCCGCCAGCCTCGGCCTTCCAAAGTGCTGGGATTACAGGCTTGAGCCACCGCGCGCGGCCTTTTTTTTTTTTTTTTTTTTTTTTTTTTGAGATGGAGTCTCTTTTTGTCGCGGAGGCTGGAGTGCAGTGGCATGATCTCCGCTCACTGCAACCTTGGCCTCCCAGGTTCAAGCGATTCTCCTGTCTCAGCCACCTGAGTAGCTGTGATTACAGGCGTGCGCCACGATGCCCAGGTACTTTTTGTATTTTTAGTAGAGACAGGGTTTCATCATGTTGGTCAGGCTGGTCTGAAATTCTTGACCTCGGGATCCGCCCGCCTTGGCCTCCCAAAGTGCTGGGATTACAGGCGTGAGCCACCGCTTCCAGTCGTTTTCTGTTTGTTTCAGTCTGTGCTCTATTTATATTGGCTTCTGTCCTCATTCTTGTTGTCTCATGGTCACATGATGGCTTTAACTGTTCCTGATGAGTTTCACAATTAATGTACTAGACATTAAGGAGGTTGCAGAGGGCAGTTTACATGACATCAGCTGAGTTTTTGTTTGTTGTTGTTGTTGTTGTTGTTTTTAATTTGCATGTCTTCTGGAGACTTTTTCTTTTTTTTTTTTTTCTATTGATATGTCCTTCTGTTAGCAGAATTTCACTTAGGTTCACCAGACACGACTGTGTTTCTTCGCCATTCATAGCTGTCAGGAAGCTGAGAATTAAGTACTGAGACTGAATTTCACTCTCCTAAGGCTTTATATTAGAGGCTGACAAGGGAACTTGGAGCTGGGAAAGAGTATTAAGTAAACCAGTCATACTCTTTGTAACACAAACCAAATTAGGTTTAAGGTAAAAAAATAAAGACAATTTCAGATACACACAAACAAAAACTCAGAAAATCTACCTTTCACAGACTATGCCTAAAGAAAAACTTACTTGATGTTTATACATATATACATATATACGTGTGTGTGTGTGTGTGTGTACCTTAAAAGTCAAACAACAAAAAGGGGAGGAAGTTCTGGAATTAAAGCAACATTAAACCAAACCCAGGAGTAGAAGTTTTTAAAATGTGGAATGTTAAAAGATGGCAAAAAATAAGAGGTCTGAAAAACATATTGCCAAAAGAGTGTTATATTACAGTTCAAGGAAATTTATAATTTTATGATAACTACAAATCAAATATTTTCTATAAATAAGGTGAAAAACTAATCTAAAACTCTAAAATAAAAGCTATTCAAAAAGCCTTATTCTATCTATGTCAAAAAATGTAGTGCAACTTTTAAGCAATCAAGAAACATATACTTACTGATATAATTTTGTTTTTTTCTTTATGAGTTCAATTATATAATTTGAACTTGAAGTAAAAAGTAGTTACTTAAGCATGATATTGTGAATCTTGTATATTGCTTTTTAGTTTGTTCAATCAACATACACACACAAAAAATAGACTGAATCCTAGTTGAAGCATCTGAATACTATAAACTTTAATAATGTAAAAGAACAGCATATTCAACATAAATCAGGAGACACTATGAGACATGAACCATGTATAGAGTTTCAATAAATGCCTCTATAATTAATGAATCAAGGATGAGTTTTATGTATATATAGTCAGGTGAAAGACAAACTAATGAACAAAAACAAAAATTTGGAGGCTAATTTGGAAGGAATTACAACAGGTAGGACAAATTCTCTAATACTCTTATTTCTTATGTTGGGGGGTCAATACATTTTATCTAAATACAGTGAAATAAGTAGACAAAGTATAAGCATAATATTTAATATTTTGATATTTTCTTGATACCTAT